GCGCAACCCCTTGGAGAAACAGGCTGCCGCGTAGAGAGTGCAGTGACATATATTATATAATACACATATCTAGGAAGCGTTTCGATCCGGAACTCTTTTCCCACAAAACTTTCTTCTTACCAGCTTCACTCCCCCTTCAAGGTCTACCACCCTAAAGAAAGAAAAACAATGACAGAAAGAATGGAAGACAGAAGAAGAATCAAAACTTGCCTTGAAAAGGTCAGAAACGACACTGGACCTAGAAGACTTGGCTTGAGCCTCAGTATCAACAGTGAAACATTAAATCATTGATGCTTATGTTATATTGGGCATAATGTTGTGTAACATGCATGCAACATATAAAGAGGGTCACGCCGCCCGCAACGACCCCGTGCAAAATGCGCACTTTCTTCCAAGGCGCGATGGAAGTGTCGATAACCCTGACAGCATGTCGGCTGTTTGGCATTTTAAGGCATGTCTTCAAAGTACTTCGTTTTACAATAGACAGTTGCGGGTTTGTTCCGTTTTCTTTGGGATTGTAAGATGAAAATGGGTTCCCATTGCCAACAAAAACGTGAAATCTTTCAACGAAAGGTGCTAGCCGCCAGACGACCGGGTTCTTTCAAGTGGTCATGCGTATTCGTGCGCGGCAAGCATTGGTCTTGCAAGCAACTTTCTATTTTTTTCCGGATATACTTCTTCAAGCTTTGCCACTAGTGGTCAAGGCATTGCGTGCCAGAGTCCTGATTAGAAGTTTTGGAAGGTTTCCAAGTGAATTCAATTTCCGAATGCTTGGCCTGAAACAGCTTTTGACGCCAAAATGTAGCATGGTTCTTCCATGCTCTGCAACCATCAGCATAAAGGCATAAAGGTGGCCATTGAACGTACACAATGTCTTCATTTAACGTACAAAGGAACGTGAAGCACACTTATACACTGTCTTCATTTAACGTAGAAAAACCGTCAATTACACTTTCCTCATGTAGCGTAGACAAGAGAGTCAACGGTTTCTTTATGTTATGTAGACATAACTTGTGTATGGCCGCGGCGCAGTAACAGAGACCACAACTGGAAGCACAAAAATTAGCACCAGGCCATAACACGCAGGCCATCAATCTAATTGGATACCGAGCGATATTACCTGCCAGCCCATCCCCAGGCCACACCATCCCCAAAAATGTGGCAGGCGTGGGAACACTAGGGAGAAACTTGTTGTTATAAGCAAGAAACGAAAAATGTCACAGGCGTGGGAAAGTATGCGCATGAATTTGGAGGGCCACCAGTTGTAGCTATTTGCAAAGACGCTAACCCCCCCAGGGTCGTTGTAGCTGGCGTGAGCACAAGCAACATATGTTATATGCAATAACATATATTTTATGTTGGAGATGTTATCTTTGTCACATATGTTGTATTTGTAAAAAATGTGTGTATGTATGTAATGTAGACTCTTGATTGGTAGACACCCCATATGAAGAGGTCGTTCAATCCAACATGTAATGTCATGATATGCAATGGTACGTATTGGTACGTATTGGCTTGTACTTGTGTATATTGGAATGTATGTATGAAGGTATATATGTATGTGTATGTGTATGTCTATGTCTATGTCTATGTATATGTATATGTATATTATATGTATATGATATGTATATGTATATGTATATGTGAAGCGTATACATGGCGATACGAATTGCTTGCGCAAATTGTAGCGCTCGCTCTTGCCTGCAGCAGAAACACATGCGCAATTCTCTGACATGTGTTTTGGAGCTTTGTGCATGCAACTTTCGACTTACTCACTAGTGCTTTCTGAGGCCAGTCGCTATGACACCCAAGTGCTGCGAGAGTACCTGCTTGAGCAAGAGGACTCATTCTTCCCCTCCCCTAGAAGACAAAGCAAGAAAGAAAAATGCAAGAATCGGTAAGGTTTGGCTTGAATCTGTCTCCCTCTCTCTCTCTCTCTTTTTCTTTTCTCATTTTTTCTTGATAACACCTGCAAGGTCACATAAAGCATGATTTGCGGACTCGCCAACCCTTCAACCTCAAACCTCTTGGAGACTGCATCTCCCAGGATGGTGGCGCAAGACCACAGCCTGGCGAGGCACACTTTTGAAAGCCCTGTGAGAGAGGTTTGACATGATTTGAGGTTGCATACAGAGAGAGGTTTGACTAGTTCACAACGAATTGCTTCTACTGCTGCAGACGGGGATTTTGATGTGCCTGATTCGTTAGGATGCGACTGACCAAGCCACTTTGCCGGACATCTACGATCTTCGGTCCAGATGCTTCAGGAGGCGTCGCGCTGGCTTTGCTACCACTTACGAGCATGTTGAAAGACAGCATGTTAAAAGGATTCGAGCACTCTTGGTTGCAACTTGCCTGCACTTGTGTCTTTGATGGTCTTCGGCCATGGCTATGTGGTTATATATATATAGTTATATATATTTTTACGACACCTCTTGCAGCTCGCTCAAAGTTACACCTTCTGCTTGTCAGCCTCCGGCGATGCCTAGGTGAACTTCCTCGCCTACTGGTCAACGGCCAGCTACTGTGGGTGCTCCGATTCGGGACAAAGCACCCAGTATACCTTCAAAGCATGAGGAACCAGGACCAACTCAGGCGGTGTTTGCACGAAGCTCCATGCACCCTTTGCGTCGAGGTACTCCTTTTACCTCCGTGTGGAGGAGATCGGCACAAAGGCAAGCGACAAGACACTGTGATTCAAGAACGCCACATGCCTAGAAGATATATAAGTTAAAGTTAGATAAGCGGCTTTCCGTTTGCAGAAAGAGTTAGGCACATTTTCTGGTTGTCATTTAAGTTCTGTACTTGCGTTAGCTATCTTAAGCTCGAATCTATCATATGTGATTGCTCATGTCCTGGACAAGCTTACATTGCAGGCCATGCCTCCTATGGAGGTTGCGTTGGCATGTGTTGGCACCTGAGTTGAGGGACAAGAGGGCCACCAAGCAGCAGAGGAGAATGTGCACAGCACTGCCTTCTGCAGCCAGATGGTGGCAGGGTTGAATAGACTATTCAAGTAAGCTGTCTATTTTTGCGTCTATTTCCTGCCTGCCCTCCTTGCGACTTCATCATGTGCTATGTGCTATCCTTGAAATGCTTGAAATGTAGAGGTGTTTCTTCTCGGGACCCAAGCCACATTGGAGCTGGCGGCTTTGTCCTGAGAAAGAGAAGTACAATGCAATACAACTTTCTATTTGTCGGACGGTGATCAATAGAGAAAGAACCACCTGAGAAGTCGTGGAGCCACCGAGGCTGCAGTCTGTTTGACACAGCCAGTGCGGCTGGGTGATGGGAGGAGGACTGAAAGGTTTCTTGCGGACGTTGAACATGCTGTCCAATTGTTCGTTTCGGTGTTGGCGCACTTGCTTGCGTCTCAAGTTCGTCAATAGTTCACTCTTGTCGAATCTGTCAGTAGTGGCTTCACGAGTTGGGATATGCTAGCTTGGCTAGCGGGAGATGGGACCTCAGACATATGAACCAGTGACATCAACCAACCAGCAGAAAGATGCACCAACATGCAACAAGAACATACGATGGAAAGCATGCAGGAATGACAAAACTACCGCAGGGGATTCCTTGCATGTCAACAAATTGCATGTTTGATTTTGTTGGTCTCGGACCATGAGGCTGGTGCTCGGTGCTCTTTGCTCCTGGATGTTCTTTGTCTTCCCTTGATGAAGCGTGGGCATTGAGCTTAGAACACACTACGATATTTTTTCCTCAGACAGCTGCAGGCTAACTTCTCAATGGTGTGGCTGTGGATCGGCGTTTTGGTTTTGTGGGTGCCGCTGCCGCGCTGATGCTGGTGCAGGGACTGGATCGGCGCTTTGCTTTGCCCTTGCTGGTGCTGGTGCTGGTGATGGTGCCTGAGGCCAGGGACGACACCATGTCAGGCCAGGGATGACATCATGTCATGCCAGGGGCGACATGATGTTATGCAAGGGATGACATGATGTCATGCCAGGGATGACATCATGTCATGCAAGGGATGACACCATGTCATGCCCAGAATGACATCATGTCATGCCAGGCATGACATCATGGCGCGCCAGGGGTGACATCATGTCATGCCCAGAATGGCATCGTGTCATGCCAGGAATGACATCATGTCATGCCCAGAGCCGACATCATGTCATGCCAGGGATGACATGCTGTCATATTGTGCATGACAACGTGTTGTGCAGCAATGATCATAATGCCGTTTGGGCAGCTTTGGCTGGTCCTTGCCCATCTTACAACTTTACGTCTGTGTCCCGCAAAGCGGGCGCATTCTGGACTGGTCTGATGTTGCGTGCTGCGGTGACAGCTGTCCGTGGCGTGCCCTTTAAAGCTATGCACCCACTATCTGGGGTTTATGCCGGTGTAATTAGGATTCAAGACTCGCCGAACTTGTGATTGTTTTGAAGGGAGTTCTGCATTGGCAAGAGGGAGAAAGCAATAATTATATACACATAAGTATCCTCAAAGCTTTGCACGACAGCATGCAGTATCGTAAAATGTTTCCAAAGGCACTCATTCCTTTTGGCATTTGAGACACCAAGGTCCAAGTTGCTCTTCCTGCTCTCAGCCAAGTGCTCAGTGGTAGCGGCCTCAAATACTGCAGCTCGCCTAGCAGTCTAACACCTCCCTGAGGCCAGCACCTTCGTATTTGCGATTGGGCTGTTTGTTTTCACTGTTGGGCACCTAAGCACCTTCAATGAAAACTGTGAACGTGAAAAAGGGCCAAAGATCAGTCAATCAACCTGAAAATTTCAAACAAAATGTTACTTGTACAGTGTAGTTGTGAACCATGTTGAACCTACGTTTTGGCCGGAGATGGCACGTTTGGAATGATTGCGCTGCGCTCCATGGCAAGGTGCAGCTGCGACTCTTGATTGGCATGTTCTGCAGCCGGGACCACTGTCCGCATCCATGTTTTAGATTCTGTGTTGCATGTTACATACTTTGACTGGCTCCCAGTCTGAATTATATTCAGCAGAAATACCTTCTAGTCTGACAACAGAATGGTAATTGCAATGATATGTTCAGAGCATTGTGGCTTTTGCTTTGGTTTGACTTATTTTTTTCCCGGAATGGATTGTGTGCTTGCCAGTTTCCTATGACAAGCCCGACCTGTTCTTCAAGGGCCGGGATACCAGTGGCCTGATTCTTGATAGCATTTTGCCACAACGCCACTCAATGTTGAGTTCAATAATAGAAGAGGCACACACACATGGGCAAACAACTACATCAACTACAGTGCTGTTGGTGCTGGTGGTGGTTGAAACCGCAGAAACAACGACATTATTTTTGAGGTTACAAAAATCCAAATCTTTGGTCTTACATTTTGCTTTGTACTCCGACTCCTTAAATGCCGTCATACCACATTTGGCGGGCACTTGCATGCCTGGACTTTTGGTAATCCTTGAGGATTTGCAGCTTAACTGGAGTGGAGCAGTGACAGCTGGAGATAGCTGCAGAAAGAGC